ACCCTTTAATGACGCATTCAAGCGGAATATATTATTATTATTATTAATTTATCAATATTTTCAAGAATTAAGGCATGCACAGACTTATGGATAACTACAATTGGCGAGGACTACGGCCACAAGTCTCTTGGAAAAGCCATAAGTTGATCTTAGTTTTATAACCTACGACAAGGAATTCGAAATATCAAATTACATCAATTTTATTTTTCATGGAACTATCTATAGTCGATTCCACTCAACTGTACAATATAATTGTGCTTTTGACGAAAGTAAGATTTATTCAAAAAGTTGCCCTTCATGCATGAAATGATAGGATAATTAAGTTTAGCATAAATTAATATTCGAATCAAGGAGCAAATAAAGTAAGGGCAAAAATAAAAATGTGTCTGATTTCACTCTGCAGGCTCGGATACTAGATATTACCAGTTCAAGCTTTGTTTAAAAATAACAGCGGATTTTCAGTTTAACGCACAAATTCCACACTATCTTAATTATCCCTCCCCTTGGTCTAGTTTAATAGAAGATAAATAAATCCTATCGCAAGTTATCTGCCTAGCCTTAATGTCTTCAACCTGAGATGTGCCTAGAGGAATCTTAATTCGACTCCTGCCAAGCTATTTGACTTTATTGGCATATGTGATCTAAGCTAAATCTATTTTCTTACATTGTGTTTATGCCCGACCCCCCTAAGCATGAATTTCCACCTATCTCCTCTCATTTTGTTCCCAGGGCACAGGGACTATTCCAAACTAATCACATAATACAGCGAACATGAGCGCAGATAAAAGTAATTTAGGCAGAAATGTTGCTAGTAGGAGCGAAAATGATGAGGGCAAGATACATAGAACTATCAAACCCGAAGAAAACGCCGTAGTCTACCCAGCCTTAAGTGAGTGGCAGCCCTCATCTCCAGACTGAGTTGTACCCTCGTATTCGCCTACTCGTCCTATCAGCCACACAGATTGGAATCTTGTATGTACTGATCAAAAGTCAGCCACATCAATCCCTAAGCGACACAACCCGAGCCCCGTTGTGCCTATCTCGACAGCAATCAGCCGCCCGATAGCTTCGAAACAAAAGATTGCTACCAACTCCGAAGGCACTGAGGCATCAAGTTGAATGGCAAGCTCACAGTTTACAATCGGTACAAAATTCCCATAAAATTGGGAATTGAAGTCTCTCTTGACTCGCGTCGTTTAGGGGTCAACGTGTTTGCCTCTGAACACACGTACTGGCTATGGGTGCTGATGCGGTAATGAGTCGATTTAAAAAATGCCGTCGAGTCTGGATGGGAACGGTTCTTTGGGCAAAGAGAAATTCACTGCAAAGATCAAGCATGCCGTTTAATTCATCGTTAGCAGAGCGGTTGTGATTTGGCAATATTTACAATTTCGTCCCAACATAGTCTATTGGGCTTCGGTTCCCATGACGGTGTCTGGGACACTAATTGGAAGAACCTCAAATAAATACATGAAATATTATGATACTATCTGAGAACATCTTAAGTAATCTAATATCCTAGGGTAAATGTTTTTATATGGAAGAACACATGGTAGCTCGAGGCTTCTAGTCAGCCCAATAAAGTCGTTATATTGTATTTCTATTGCGTGGCATCCCATTTTTCCACGTGCAACTAGCCCTATTCAATAATATCCTTCTGAATCCATGCAGTTACTTCAGGTATGACGTTTCTTTAAATATCTTTTACTTATATTTAAGTGAGGAATGTTAAGGGCATTCACAATTTTGTATCATTTAATTATGTCGATTTTTTGCTGTTTTGAGGTGTTGTCTCATTGAAATATCCAACCTGTTAGTTTTAATTTATTTACTAACTACTAAAAATTAAATATTAAGGTTTGTCAATATTTACTTAAATTCATTATTGTTCCTATCCTTATAGTATTTTCTAAGTCTGTGGCTGTTTCCTACTTTTAAAGACAATAGGATTCACACATCAACAGTCACACTTGCAAGGTAATTTTATTTCGGTTTTTGATGATACCAGACCATAAATCTTTTCAAAAATCTCTTCGTGCAAATCCTAACTACCACTGAAATGAAATTATTAAGGGGTTTTTCTGAACCTATCTTTTATACGTGTATATTTAAGCACACAGAGAGGTAGAAAATGCGAAATGAGGGTGGCACTTGGCTCCGGTGTAGCCCTTCATTCGAAAGAGGCTTACATTTTCATTGAACTCGAAGAAAGGCGCCTGGAAGAAAGTGTCATTGCAAGCACCCTGAAGCAGTTTAAACGACATGGGGCCAAATACAAACCGTTGTCTTCGTCCGGTGAGAATCTCTTCATTTCGTACTTTCACACCTAATTAATTTATTGTATTAGATACTGGCTGTGAGAAAAATATGTTTTAATAAGAGAAAATCGGCCCTCTATGAGCGATTCCGAGGTTCGACCTAAATTCAACCAGGCAGCCTGTGGCTTTAAAGTGTATCCCGCCTCACTACATGAAGCCTTTCCTCTTATTCAGGAGGCGAGGGATAAACAAGCGAATCGGCCAGCCAGGTTTAGACCGAGCACCGAAGGATTGTAACCAAGTGAACCCATCAAGGTTCACAAGGAAGAGAGCAAAGTATGAAGCAGGGAGACGATAGTCCAAAGCCGGTTAGGCAATCACGGCAACAGCTGCACTATTGTGCCTGAAAAAAAGATTAACCTGAGCCTCCTCTTTCCTGTCATCCAACTTCCAACGACCTATTTCACCCCACTTCCTACTCCCCCCGGCCGTCAGCCATCCTTGTCCGAATCGGTCATCCCAGGTGAGATATACATTCCACCTGGCCACCCACTGGCTTCTCCCAGTCTGTATGGGGCTTCTGTTAATATTTTTTGCCCAAATTGCCTCGCTTCAATTGTTTGTCCGGACTACACACAAAAATATCCAGTACCTCTAATAAACAATAGAGGTGCGAATCCAACTGAGTCGCATCGTGGGGCGTCCGGTTCACCAGGCCTCGAGCGCACAATCTTGAACATGGCTCTTTTCTTTCTATCCACTCTCCCGCCAAATACTTCCTACACTTCGTGCTATTTGCACTGCGACACCTCTTCTCGTCACTTCACTTTGCAAACTGGCTACCCATTCACAAGGGCCTCTCCACAACGGCCCCTCTTTTCCTGTCCTGTACCGCCCCTCCAGCCACCTACTGCCAGGGGGGGATTTCACCATTTATGCACGAAAGGCATGTAGGAAGGAAATAAAATGACAGAGAAAATATAATAGACTGAAGAGAAGAATGAGCATTGCGATGGGTGGGTGGGTGATGGAGTGTAGGGAGAGTGGGATATAGGGTTTAACAAGTGCTAGTCTCGGCTCAAAGGGATATTATGAAAAAAACACAAGTCAGCTCCAGCTGCCTCTTGGGTGAGCAAGTCTGACAGGAAGCATTACGGCGAATCGGCTGCGACCTGAAAATTGTATATAGACTAAAAAAGATGCCACCGAGGCAGCCGTGTGGGCAGATGGGGGTCTTTGCAGCTCTGTTTCGGTGAGCATAGACGACGGAAGAACATGCCTATTGCCAAGGGAATATTTCATTTGGGGCGTTTTGTTTGTTTATCTAATTGCAAAATATTCCGAGCTCCTTATTAATTGACAGGTTCAACCTTTCAAATCGAGAAATTATTGAATCGTTAATTTTCCAATCTTACTCCGGATGCCTCGAAAGTTGGCGGATGTCAAGATGTCTCAGAATTTAAGAGCAGAGTAGAGGCACGAGCAGAAAACAGTTGAACGATACTGCTCAAAAGAGACTTTTGCCATTTAAAAACTTTCCCTCGAAATGAGAAGTTGCCATCGGTCAGTGTTAAAGTGAAAATATAAGACTTTCCAACGAGATTCGAGCATATTTCACGTTGCACACTGAACGAAATCTGCTCATCTTACGCAATAATAACTTAGTCCCCCAGATTGCCTAAGGAGGCATGTGAATCAATAGTACAGTTAAACCGCAATGCTATAACCGGTACTCAAGATACCATTGGAATTAACCCTCTGTACCGACCATCATGTCGTTTTATTAGGTCTGGACCCCAGTTTCGACATGCACTACCAACAGCATCCTAAACCGAGTGAGGCTAATTACACTATACTCGATGGTAGCCGTGATAATGTAGGAGGAACGTAAAACATCCCAAGGCTCTCCTTTGGACTTTTATTTTGACGACCAAGACAAGATTTAGTTGATGAAGACAAAGCTTTGTGAGATTGTTTCAATGATATTGATATTTCTTAAGAATGGCTTGCCTTGTCTGGTCTGTGGATCATGACCAAAGGTGGCGGAGAAACCTTTGGCGATTTCCGTGGATGTTTTAGATCAAAACATGCTTGGGGCTTTGTGATACTGAAATGAATTATTGTCGCAGAAGGCTTGTATATGTTTAAGTATTAGCTCTGTAGAGTAGTTCTATGCTGTGGGCACGTAAAAAAATCTTTCATGTTGCAAAGAACATTAATCATGTCCATTCTCGGGACCAAGAATTATGGGCTGAAATATGTCCTCCAACAGCATTGAGGAGTGCAAATGAAAACGTTCCCACCAATTGTCAATATTTTCCCTCGCTTTCTTGCTTGACTAAAGTTTATTCATCATTAATTATAGTTTGGTACTACCTAAATTAATAACTTTATGATTCTAAAAAGATTTCAGCTTCACAATATGGCTAAACATCAGAGGACAGGTATAATTAAATTCGGCTAAATAACCATTTGTTACAAACCTTGCCTTTCGCAGCTACTATCTGCTTTCACTTTCTGCCACTCATCAATAACAAAAATATCCTGAGTCCTTTGGCTATATGCGGCCATTTTCTGTCATGAATTGGTCACTCAAGTCTATATATTTTACTGGACCAAATGGAAAAGAAGGGCACTATCCAGAGTTGACAAAAAGAACATTTTTATCCAGAGTTGATAATGGGATGCCAAAGAAGGTTTAATTTTTAAGCCTCAGCTAATTATACCTACTTATTCTATGGCCAAGTAGTACA